ATTCTTTCAGAAACACAGTGTTAGCAAGATGTGTTGGGAGTTCATAAATAGGTGGCATTTCACTTCATTTTCACTTACTGTTTGCAAACAGAAGGATTAGGAAACGTTGGTTGCCTAGGGGTTTTTAACAGCTATAAATATGCTGAAGACAGAAAGTGTTTTAGAAACAGACCAAAACTGCCGATTTACATTGCTCTGTAAGTCCTTGTAGTGGAGTCTCTTGAATTCATCTAGAGACTGTCTCTTGCAGTTTGCTTTTCTTGTAATTGGTACAGCTCACTTGCAGAACTGTTTAATTTTTTGATTCTGCAGGACTTCTGGGTCATGAACAATTCCATCCAGAGCACAATTATCCTACTCATTGAGCAGATTGTGGTGGCTCTAGGAGGTGAATTCAAACTTTATCTGCCTCAGCTCATTCCTCACATGTTACGGGTCTTCATGCACGACAACAGTCAGAGTCGCATTGTCTCTGTCAAGGTGAGTGGCAGTCTGCAAGAGCATGCCCAATGTGCCATGCCCCAGCAGGGCTTCTTGCTTGTGTGCTGCAACCAAAGGGAGAGGTGCAGTTCAGCAGTGGTGTGGTGTGATATGATGCAGACAGCACCTTGTTTCAAGTGCAGGGTTGTAGCAACTTTTCACCAGATACTGACTTGTTCAAGATGCATCTCTTCATGGCTTTGAGTCACATTGGATCGTTTTCCCTCCAGCTATTGAATGCGATCCAGCTCTTTGGAGCTAACCTGGATGACTACCTTCATTTGTTACTACCTCCTATTGTAAAGCTATTTGATGCCCCAGATGTTCCAGTGGTGGCTCGCAAGTAAGTGTTGGTCACTTTGCAGTCTCTTTTCTTTCCCTTGTGATTCTCCAGTGGCTGCTCTAGCCACATGTAGAATGAAATGCCACTTAGTTCCTTCCCTGTGTTTTCTCTGTGTTAAATGATTATGGTTGAATGTCACAGCATTGTTAGCAACTTTTCTTGGGTATAAACTAATAATTTCTGGTTCTTACCTGTCAGCAGTTTAGTCACTGCAAGTTGCAAGCTATTCTGCAAGTACTAGCTGCATTATCAGAGTTCCTGTGACCTGTTTTTCCTACTACTATTGATGCTTAGGAAGACAGAGAATGAATCACTTACGTGTTTTTACATCTCATTTCTCCTGCTTTATGCCACAAGACATAAGTCCTATCTTCTTTTTGCTCTGACTTCAGAGCTGCTCTAGAAACAGTGGACCGCTTGACAGAGTCCCTGGATTTCACTGACTATGCCTCACGGATTATTCATCCCATTGTGCGAACACTAGATCAGAGCCCTGAGCTACGAACAACTGCAATGGACACACTTTCCTCTCTGGTGTTCCAGCTGGGAAAGAAGGTAATACTCTTCTTAGACTTGAAAGCTCATAAGAGGAGAGACTGTCACAAAGATGAAGGTTTTAAATTTGTAATGCACTCATTCTGGATTTTAAAGGAAACAGATTTTTCTTCTCTTTGTTTCTGGAATCAAGAGTTACTGAAACCAAGCTTTCAGAATTGCTCGTTTAATAAGATAAATGAAACAAAGGTGAAATATTACTGCACTTGGTGTCACTGAGTAACCAGCTTTTGGTGCATTCCCCTGTACAGTACCAGATTTTTATCCCAATGGTGAACAAAGTTCTGGTGCGACACCGAATTAACCATCAACGCTATGATGTTCTTATCTGCAGAATTGTAAAGGTCAGTTAATGAGTATGTAGTTGTTTGCATAAGGGTGCTTTGGGGTTGTTTTTGTGATGAGAGAGATGTAGCTGGAAACTTCACTTTGAGTTAGAAAATGAAGAATGGTTGTTGCTCTATTTGTGTGTGAAGTACAGCTTTTAAAGGAGACTGAGATTGCATTGGGAAAATTATTACTGCTATTAATTCTAATAGAAAAATCATTGCAAGTACTAGGTAAAACCTTTAAATTGTAGCCATTGTTATTACTTTTTTCTCAGTTCTTAAATATGGATTTACTCGAGGTTTTGCACAGTTTCAGGACTTAAGCAGACCTTGTTATCTCAGTATTTTCCATAGGCTGCCCCATATTTCAAAATCTCAGTAGCTGGTTTGAGACTTGATTAAGGTAGAACAAGCAGCACACTGCTGTTCTCGACTTCCTAGCGAGTCAAATAGGAAGGAGTGCTTGTTTTAAGGTGTGTTATTCTGGCTTTTAATGCTAGGAGCTAACATTTCCTAACAGTTAAATTGAATAGAAAAGAAATATTATTAGAGTTGCCTGGTTTATAAGGTGTAATTACTGTAATGAAACACGGGTGGTTGCTTCACAAATTTCACTGTGAGGTTGGATAGTGCTCTTTGTCATCCATTTGGCTTGTAGGAAATTGCTTTTGTGTATGTGGGTGTGATCTTCATTGTAAGCTATTTATTGTAGGGCTATACTCTTGCTGATGAAGAAGAGGATCCCCTGATTTATCAACACCGAATGCTGAGAAGCAACCAGGGAGAAACTTTGGCTAGTGGTCCTGTGGAAACAGGACCCATGAAGAAATTGCATGTTAGCACCATCAACCTGCAGAAGGTAAGACCAGAGAATTGCACAGTGTGAGTTTGCTACTAAAGGGAGGAGCTCATGTCATATCTAAGGAGCTTGTCCGGTGCGTCTGATCTGCATTTATTTACATCTCTTTTCTGTTGCCAGTTCTGTACAAAACTGAGCTCAAAGTGGTGTCTTAGACTCTTTAAAAGAAGCAGCTCCTAAGCAACTTGAAAGATAGGAGCAGCTGAATTACCAGACTGTTAATAGCCATGAAGTAATCTTGACACTTCCTTGTTATGTTAAGTATGAACAAGACTTCCTAGATCACAAGGAATCATCTGTAGCTTCTAGAGGCATCTGTGTCAGAGCTTCTGCCTTTTTTCATCAGACACTTATATCTTAGTACTATATTCTCTTGAAGCCAATATAGAATTTAATAGCTAAGCACTGGCTACTTTGAACAGTAAATGCACATAGCACTTGGTTCAGTAGTGGGATGGATTGATTTGAAAATGATGGGCTTAAAAATTTAATGCTAAATGCATTAAGTATTTTTAAGCTGATGTTTCAACAATGGCTTCAGCTCTTGATGTATTTTTGTAGGAAAAGATTTATTCATGTTAAATACTTGGCATGTCATGACAGGGATATATTTAATGAAGATTTCTTAGAATTGAGACTGAAGTACTGCAAATTATCTGACAAAGGTAATGGATTTCAGGGCATGGAGAAGGGCATCTCTGCGATGTGATTTGGAGCTGTAAAGAAGCAATGCTGCCTGCTGATGGATTTCTTCTGCTTTTGGATAGTGCTTCATTTGGTAATTGCACCATCTTGCTTTGTTCTGCAGGCCTGGGGAGCAGCAAGAAGAGTTTCCAAAGATGACTGGTTGGAATGGTTAAGAAGACTGAGTTTGGAGCTGCTGAAGGATTCCTCCTCACCATCCTTGCGCTCATGCTGGGCCCTGGCTCAGGCTTATAACCCCATGGCTCGGTAGAGTAATTCTATTTTGTTTTTCAGATCACTTGAAATTGCAGTGCAAGCCAGATGTTGTAAGGAAAGAGAAAGCTGGAAAGCTCTTGGGTTCCATAAATAAAGTTCCTGCATGTTAGTCTAGGAATAATATAAGGCACATTCAAGTGAAGGTGGAAAAACAGCAGAGTGTGAAGTGGTTTTGAGGATCTGCTCACCTCTCACTCTTTTGCTTTCCTCCTCAGAGATCTCTTCAATGCTGCTTTTGTTTCATGCTGGTCTGAACTGAATGAAGACCAGCAGGATGAGCTGATCCGAAGCATTGAATTGGCCTTGACTTCTCAGGACATTGCAGAAGTCACTCAGACACTGCTGAATTTGGCAGAATTCATGGAACACAGTGACAAGGTAGAGATGCTGTTGGCAGCTCTTCTCTAATGCTGGCTAGCTGGCTGATGTCTAGGCTATGGAAAGGGTGTTGAAGAGTTCATGCATACTTTCTGCTTTTTTATATTCATCATGCTTTTGATGTGTGTGCTTCTACCCAGGGTCCACTGCCTCTGAGAGATGATAATGGCATTGTCCTCCTGGGGGAAAGAGCTGCAAAATGTCGAGCATATGCCAAGGCACTTCACTACAAGGAGCTGGAATTTCAGAAGGGTCCCACCCCAGCCATCCTAGAATCTCTTATCAGGTAGGACCACAACTGATGAGACTTCTGCTCTTGCATCAGTACCCAAGTTAGGATACCTTTGGGATGAATCTAGACAGTTCTTAGGGTTCCACACTCTGCCACAGGATGTTGTAGGCTTACTAACTAACTTGTAGATGTACACTCCTAGCTTCTGAGTTCTGCCCTTCTGTTTGGTTAAAATCATGATAGAAGCTGTGGGAAGTTGTGCAGGAAGAAGTGGGGTCTTCCAATTCCTACTTTTTGCCCTTCAAGTTCAATATGGGATCTCGTGGGGTGGCTGTAAGTTAAATGAGACAGATTTCTACACCTATATATAAATAAGCCAGAAAAGCTGAAGTTCTTAAATAAAACTTCGCATCAAGTTCTGCTCATCCAGCTTAGATAGGTCTCACTCTCCATGTATCAAGTAGCAGGTGTTATAAGAAGAATGTATTGTTTCCTGAGTTTTGTCCACAAGAAGTATGTTAGCCTGAAATACCTGCACAGGATTTGGTACTGGACGACATGGTTTAAAACATGAATCTCAGTTTCATCTCGCAGAAATGCTAACTCTACCATTTGAAATGGCCAAATTGATTTTGGTTGAGCAAAAATTTAGCTTTGTGAAGTTTTTCAGCCCTCCCACTTCCTGGGAGTTGTGCTTTCCTGGGGTGTTTTCCCCTCTTTTATTCTTTCATCCTTTGTCCTCTCTTTTTTCTTTTTCTCCTGAGATAAGTACAGAATGAATTGTGTTCCCTTTCCTGGCGTCAGGTGCAGCTCTTTCTGTGTGTATCAAAAAGCAAGTTAAGGAGCAGACTCAAAGTAAAACAATTAAAAATGAAAGGCAATTTATTAGAGTTGGGAAAGCTTTGAAACCTTTCAAAATCCATTTTATAGTCCACAGTTAAAGTAATTCAACTCTAGTTCCACACAGTTGAAGTTTCCAGTGTGAATAGTCAAACATATGTAAGGCAATTCCCAAGACATCAGTAACTCCCATTTCACACAACACTGAACAGTTTAAATTAGATTGAAACTTTCTTTAAGGTGAATAAAAATAGATATATTAATGATAACTATCTTTTCCAACATATTCAAATAACAGTATGGTGACAGGATTGGTCTCTTTCTTTTTTTACCTGTTATTTTTAACACTGTGTTATGTAAAGGAGAAACATTCTGTGTGTGTTGCATAACATCGTTCCTGGATTCTCTGGTGTGTACTAGTGTTTTGCTTATGGATACAGTGGTTTTAAGTGTTGGAGTTGAGGTTTTCAGCTGGATGGCCAGGTCTGGACTTCTTTTGCTAATGTGTTTTTCTGTCTTAGTCTTAGTGACATACAGCACACTTATGCTCTAACCTGAGCATAATTTCGTGGCAGCCCTGAAAGTTGCTTTCTGGTTTATCAGCTTTTAGGTCATCTGTGAATAGGAATAAATACCACAGAGTATATGGGACAAATCCTTTCTCCAGATTTACTATCTGCTGGCTGCAGCCTGCTGTGGGGACTTACTTGTTGCAGCAGCAGGAGAATGCAGTAAAACTTAAGGAGAGAACCTGGGCAATACTAACTAACCCAAAGTCTTTGAGCTTCATTTTTTCCTCTGGGGGAATGTAAACCACATATTATACTCTAAAGAAAGGTGCATCTGCCTTGAAATGAATATGTTGTTGTTGTGATTTGAGTCTCTTCTGGAGGGAGTTAGGAATGCTTACTCTACACACTGAAGAAGTGGCAACAAGGAGGCTTTCTTTATTCAGTCCCTGCCTGGCTGGTTAACACTAAGGCAACCCACTAGCCACAGTGCTAGTGAAAACACACCAGTAGGTTTTTTTGAAGGTGCTGGAAGTGCATTCAGTTATAACCTATTCTAACACAACATTATTTTCCCTTTGGAAAGAGTCTGAAGAGGAGGAAATAAGACTGAGCCTGGTAACACAAATGGCAGTGACTTGTGCTTAATGTGCCTTAGTGTTTGTGTGTGCACATAGCCAGTATGTAGCTGTTGCACATATTAGATGAAATGAACTATTATTTGGCTGATTTTGAGCAGTTCATTGCCCACCTTCTGTGCAGTAGCATAAGGAAACTGTACAAACAAATACTGGTTCTCTCTATGGTTTGAAATCCTCTGGCCGGATCTTCATCTCAACTCTCTTCAGGGAATAGGTTGATCCGTGCCATCCGTACCAGGTGATCCCATCCATGTTCTTGGTGTGTTCTCCTTTCCGGTAGTAAACCCCATTCAGATTGGAGTCTGTGCAGCAGTTGTACCAATATCCACCTTTTAAAAAGCCAAATGAATAGATTCCTGGTGAGTCATTTACTTAAAACAGGTATGTTTTGTATTCATCATAAGAATTACTGCTCTTCCCAGAGGAGAGTGACCAGAATGGAGCATTTAATCCCTGGAGCCTTTATAGCTGGGATTGCAGGTAAACTCAAAATTTAACATGGATACCATATACATAAAGGCTTTACAGTTCCATAGTCAGATTAATCCAGTGGGTTTTTGTTTAGTTGCACATATCTCTTCTAGTATTTCCTTGACATATTTCTGTCTCTGTGAGAGTTAGCTTAGGAAATTAGTTTGGGATCATAGCTTGGGCATCTTAAAGCATTTAAGAGGTCTCTGCACACTGCGAGTAAGATGCACTATTTTGTTGAGGCTGATACCAACAATTTTATTTGCATATCATGTGTGGGCATAATGGGGAAATTAAAAATAAAGGGCAAGATGCAGTGAAGGCAATTATCTGTGTGACAGACCTCCTATAAAGATAATAAATTGAACAAAGAGAGTAACCTCATTAGAGGCTCTTTAAGGTATAAATAAAGATTGGAATGCAGGTGAAACCTTGAAGTGCAAGTAGGATAATAATATAGGAGAGTAATTACAAGTTCCTGATACTAACTTGAAACCTTACAAAAGAAAACAAAAAGATCTTATACAGTAATAAATCCCTGCATCGCTGAATTGCATCAACATCCGATATAGGCATAATGGGCTGGGTAACAGTAGGTGAAAACATGCATTCAATCATTTGAAGAGCACTGAAGTCTATAACATACAGTCTGGCTTTGTGTAAATCAGCTTTAAGTGCCAGATTGCCCACATAACTGCCAAGTGGGTATTCCAGAGTTGATCACCTCTCCATTTGCCAGCCAGATGCTCCTTACTAGTTACTTGCAATGAGGGAATCTTGGGCTCTCTATGAATTACCCAAGAGCTCTCTTGGGACAGGAAGATGTTTGTTCATGTTTTACCTTTACGGAACTGGGCGCAGTCATCCACACACTTGTCATTGTCCTTGTCTTTCGTGCTGAAGGCTGTGTTGTTGTGGTACCTGAGGGAATCCCGCCCTGTGTTGCCTGTGTAGTTCCCCACAAAAAGGCGATAGCTGTTGATTTCGTTGCTCAGGGTGAACTGCTTATATTGTGCATAGCGTGTGTTGCCTTCCCAGTCCTGCCACAGAACAGTGAAGAAGAAATAGGTCCTATTAGATTAGTTATGAAAAACCCCACTGTTTATTGCTACATGCAGTGCATGTTACGTATATTTTCTCAGTCCTGGGTTTTTCATGGGTATTTTTTCTGTCTCAGGCTGCAGAAACTTCCCTTCTAAGGCAAAGAAACTTTCCAGAGCAAAGCATTATATTTCCAAGTCTTGCCTACACTGGTATTAAACAACATACGTGGAAACCTGGTGTGCCACTCTTGCATTCAAAGTCCTCATCTCATAGTGTGCTGCCTCAAGTCACTTTGTTTTCCTCTCTGAAACACTCACTTTTAGATATAAAGCCTTTTGGATCACTTTTTCCATTATAAATATCCCATCCCTCAAAACTATTATATGAGCTATAAACCTAGTTTAAGTCAAACCCAAGCCTGTCATAGACTGTAGACATTGTTTTGGAGTAATACAGTGCAAACTCTTGTATATAGGCTGGAAAAAAGTTCTTCAAAAGGAAAAGATTCAGTCTTTAAAACTTTCTGGAGCATCTTTGTGAATCTTTACATCTGAGGTGGTCAGCAGTTTGATCTCTGCAGTGGGTTTCCCAGGGTTCTCTAGAGCCCCACAAGTTCCCTAAGACACAATCTGTATGCAGATGGAAGGTTGTCCTACTGACTTTGGGGTAGAGAACGTAATTCTGTCTTGTTCTTGAGTGTATCACTAGGCCTATCCTACTTCCTTCTCCTGCAGTTAAAGCATGCAAATTCTTTGGGCCTCCTATAGAGACAGGAGATGGTATGTGCTGCTGGGAAATCCCTTTGTATTCAAAGCTTTTTTTTTTTCTGGTGAAATTAAATGCTTATTGATTACCTCCAGCTCTACTCGCAGAACAGTGGGGCGCCTGGAAAGTCTGTAGATATTCTCATTTCCCAGCCAAAAATCCCCCCGAATATTGCCAAATCCTTCCTTGTACTGTTTCCAGTCCCTATTGAAAGATGTCAAACCAACTTTCCGTCTCTGGATGATAGTCCAGCCACCTCCATCTGTCTCCATGTCGCAGAACACCTACAGGAGGAAAAAATGCAGTGTTTACTTGTCAGTAGATTTAGGAAGGTTCAGTTCTGTTAACACAAAACAAGACATTGTTCCAGATTACACAACTTGAAGAAATTCCTCTTTTCTTTCTTTAATTCATGGGGAAAAAAAAAAGATGTTAAATGAACCCCTTTTCTCCTTTCCCTCTTAAATGTACATTCTTTACTTTCTTTAAGTTTGCCTAAAGATACTGAGTCAGAGTGTAAGGTATCATAACTCAGTACGTACTCTTTTCATCTCTGCAGTAAGTATTTCTTGATTGTATGTGAAAAGACATGCAATATACATTGTGCACTTGGCATCCTTACCTCCAGCTCTGGACTCCCCAGAAATTCATCAGGAGGTAGCTTGTAAACCCCAGAGATCCGGTAGTTCCTCTGGTAGAGTGAAGAGCAGTCATAGACAGCATCTACTTGAATAGGAAGCAGGAAGTAAGAATGTGAACAGCAACAACAGCTTCCAACAGGAAACCACAAGGGTGATTTCTTGGAAGCTTAATTTGTAATACAAGGAGTAACTAAGTGAAGAAAACTTCCACAAGTCTCATGTTTTCCTGAAATGGTTTAGTTTTAATCAATACATGCATTGGAAAAAGAGGTAGTAGCACTGGGACTTTGATGGGGTTTTTGGGTTTGGTTTTCGCCTCTCCTAACCAAAGAGCAATCTCCAGTTTCTCTTCCCATTGCTACCACTTGCTGGAAGGTATAAAGATTTATTTGCTGTCCCCCTCCCAAACAATAAAGGGTTATCTAGTAGAATGGCAAGGGCTGCTCTGGATTGATGAAACTCACCCTGATGCTCAAGCAGGTTAGCCAGGTTTGCAGATGAAACCTATTTGCTAGCACTTTTTGCACCAGAGCCTATGACAGAGCTGGTGGCTTTTAGCTGCAGTCTGTGTCAGTCTCTGCCAGCCTACTTTCCTCCCTCTGCAGGAGCTGCCTTGATAATAGGGAAAAGCACAGCTATTCTTCTGAGGAAGATAAACCAGCTGAAGCAAGGCTTTATCCATTCTGACAGCTTTCAGTTCAGTACAGACTAGGTGTCTCTTACCTGGTTTAAATACCTTTGCACAGCTCCAAAGAGACTCGTTATGGTATAATAGTAAAGACCTCCAGTAAACAGTGGTGTGTCAAAACTAGCCAAGTGGAACTTTAGGGAAGAAGATTTTAGTAAATAGATTTAAAAGTTTTTCCTTTGCATTTAAAAAAAATAAAAAACATAAAAAAAATCTAAGTGAAATCCTTTGGCAAACCCAGTTCTCCCAGAAAACAGGAGTGGATTTTAAAGGAAGCTTTAAACATTGCAGCAGATTTAATTTGAGGAGAAAAGTCATCTAAAAAGACGCTTTCTTCTAGAAGCGGTTTTGCAGATAGCTGACCTACAAAATGCACCTGCATTCCATGCTTGGGACAGGCCTGTGCAATCACTCTGTGCAGTGAAATTTTGCCTCGGGGAAGAAAGGATTTGGAACAATTTAAGTGCTCTGGCTAGGCTTATATCACAGTTTGCATCTTGCATCATCTGCAGCCTTGAATGTTTGAGAATTATCATTCAAATAACAGATAACTCTTTTACTCTGGTTTCAAGATAGTCATAAAGATACAGTTACAAGCCTCAGTAAGGCTTGGACAGCATTTCTAGTGGTTTCACCAATCTCTAGTCCCTGTCAGCACTGTGAACGCAGAGGATATTGCTGCCAGATCCCTTCCTTTTTGGATCGGTACTGTAGTGCTTAGAAAATGAACTGTTAGACTGAGTTCCTCGCTGTACAGATACAGTCCCTGCTCAGTTTTCCCATTCCTTAGTAACAAACATACAGATATTAAACCACAGCTGGATCTTTGCACTTCTGACAGATGAATCCAAATGGTTTTCTCAGTATCACCTGCCTACAGAAGTACTTTAAGCAGAAGCATTCAGAATGCACACTTGCTAATCGTGTTAATGGGACATGCTAGCATTAAGGACTAGTCACAAGTTCATTCTGAGCATCAAGAGGTGTATCTGGGAGCTTGGTGGCTCCCTCCTTACCAGCTGAAGTTTGCGTGACCGTCTGAGCTGCCTGGAGCTGCATGATATCTATCTGGTTGTTCATTTCGGAGTATTTGCTCTCAGCATCAATGAGGCGGGACTCCATCTGCTTGGTGCTCCCTTCCAGCTCCATCACTTGCATGACCACGTTCACCCAGTCGCCTTCCTGCTTCTTGCTGAGCTCCTGCAGCATTCTGCTCAGGTTGGCTACTTGCAGCTTGAGCTCTTTAATCTCATCACAGCAGCCTGTCAACTTGGACTGTGCATTCCCATTGAGCGTCCTCCTTTTAGGAGGCTTCTGCAGCAGCGCTGGGTAGATTGCCACAGACACAGTGACAATGCAGAGCCAGGCCAGCTGAGCACTGGATCTTGCTGGCATTTTTGCTTACAGCAACAGAAAACTTCCAGCTGGCTGTGGGTAGTCTGAATGCAGCTGGGGTAGGTATGAAGTTGGTTGCAAGTGCTACAGGACCTAGCTTTCTTCCAATGAAAGGAGTCTCTGAAGGTGGAGCCTGAAGAAGCAGCCTTTTTTCAGACCCGTCCTTTCAGAGCCTATGCACTTTGGAAGTCTGTCTCAAAGCATCTTTTATGCAATTTGGTGTTTACCTCCACCCCCCTGGAGCTATGAAGCACTTTCTGGCCCCTCCCAGATCATCTGTTCCTATCAGGTGTTTACAGGGTGAAACTAGAACAGCATTCATCCAAAAAAAGGTTGGGGAGAGCAGGAGAGTCTTCACTCAGTTCTGTGTTGAAGGGGTGTGGTGGAGGGCTAGGAAATGCAGAGAGTTTCCAGCAATTATTGCCTGCTGGATTGAAGCCCTCTTGGTGACTTGTTCTGGCACTTCAGTAACATTAGAGGAGCACTAGAGGTCCAGAATGTGGAAAGTCTTTCCCAACAGGATGAGTTTATGAAAGTTCAGGGAATGTAACTCCCTAGCAGGTAGCCCCAGCTGCAACAAGTCCTCCTAATACCAGAAGCTGAGGGGGTAACTCTATGCTTGCAGTCCTTCTTAATTTACATAATACTGTGGCAAATTCATCTGTTTAACATCTGGTCCTCCTCCCTCTGGACACTGGTGTCTCTGCACTATTTTGTAGCATTCAGTGCTGCTATTCTTAGAGATGGGATATGTGAGGGTGGGGTGGAAAGAAGTCTGCAAAACATCTAAGTCAAAACTCATGCCTGTGTTTACTCATAGTGGACAAGCAAAAGGACATTAATTAATGCTGAAAGACAATTTATTTACAACTGACAAGAGGTGGGTTTCTTTACAGGCAATGTGATCTAACTCCAGTATTAGGGAGGCCAGTTTGTTAACAGGATTTAGAGGGGAAAATCTGTGGGTAATTAAAATGTCCACGGTTACATAAGTGTAGATTTAAGAGCAAAGCTTAAATCTTTAGACACTTAGAGTATAGGTGAAGTATCAGTTGGCTGAGATAGCAACTTCCAGTCTCCTGTTTTATATCCTTCAGCAGTTCCAAAGTTGATTGTAACTGATCCCAGAGTGAAGCTGTTCCAGCAGTGGTGCAGCTTTTTACAAAAGGTCTGCAGGTTTTGCTCTAGATCCTTATGGATAAGTTGTTTCTCCACAAGCCAGCTGCTCTGGCATTGCCCAAAGTGTGAGTTCTTGCATCTTCCTCTCTGATTGTGACAAGTGGCAGAGGTAAGATGCAAAATGAAGAAATAAATGGTTCATGTATCTGCTCCTGGGGCAAATGCCATGAAAGCTTCTTGGTGTCTAAGAGAACAAAAGAAAGCTCCTTTCTTTGTTCCGTTTGTAAAGAAAAAGAGAAGAAACCCAGCTGAGATGTGCTATCCCAGCTAGACTTCTCTTGTTGATCCAAAGTGGCTGCAGGATTTCTGCTTGATTGGAAAAGGCCTGGTGATCTGACATGCATTTTAGAGAAGCAGGAAGCACAGTTTCTTGATGGTGCTATTTCTCTTCCTCCTTAGCTTTGCTGCACTTACTGCTAGATGCTTTGTTTCTGCCTCTGATTTGTGCCACAGCTGGCTAATAGTTTTTCTGCAGAACAGTAATGAGAAACCCCACAGGGTACAGAGGTTTAGGAAGATGAGAGCAGCAAAGCACTGAAGGGGTGGAATATGAACACAGACGTTTCATAAACCTGAATTTTCTTAGAGGAAGAAGAGCAGATCTTTTGGAGGAGGTCAGAATAAGAGATGCCTGAGCAGGCAGCATGAGTGCCTTGAGTTTCATTGTAGCTGAATGTCTGCGTGCTGCACTTCAGATGGAAACCACTGTAATGTCAACTGGTGAGGCTGCAGTGTGGTACTGGACCTGAGGTATGCAAGTACAACTTGATTCAAGTGCTGAGGATACCTCCACAGCAGACCTTAGGCTTCAGTCATGTTTTTGTCGTGGACATTCCAGAAACCTTCCATAGCAAAATTGCTTTTTATACTTCAGACCAGAAAGTGCCACTGCACACAGATGAAAGCCTGACCTTTTTGTTCTGCCTCTAATCCTGTCTGAGCCCTCTTCCAGCTGAAGCTTCTGTCATTCCCGGGGGCAAATTCTTCTCAGGCTTCCTGTGATGAGAAACATGTTTTTTGTCAAAGTTGGAACAAAGAATAGGGCAGGCCAGACTCTGGCTTCTCCACCCCAAAAAGCCACCCTGCTAACACCCACATCGTGTTAACAAGATCTGTTCTGCTGCTCTCATTCACCATAACTCTTGTGTCATACACAGTCTGAATTTCACTCGTGCTTACATCACGAGGGGCAGATGTGGAAGAGGGGAGCCACTGGTAGGTCCATGCATTCCTTCCTTGTACATGTTTTGGAAGGATCCAAGGTTTAGCCAAATTTGCACACAGATGTTAGGAAGCAGTGCAGAAAGGCCTCCAAATCCCCTATCTAAACTGGGGTATTTAATTGGAAATGAGGCAGCCAGGGACTTGCATATTTTGATTCACCTGTTTAGAACAGAGATAATGCTTCCTTGTTCCGTGTAAGGGGGTGAAAACAGGCATACTGTGCAGGAATGGAAAAGAGCACAAGCCTTCCCATCTGTCATTACTTTTGAGGAAGCATTAAGAGGGATTTGGGCAGACATCTCTCTTGGCAGAGACCTTCGCCTTAATGGAATTTGACTGCTTTATGAGTATCTGAAAGATGAATCTTTCTCTGCTGCATGGAGAACTGAAGGTAGTCACTTAGGCAGCAATAGCTGCTGATGTTGGTCATTGCCACATCAGATCCACTATAGGAGTTGACAGTCTATAGGAAACTGTTCCACTGTCAGGTACTGCTGCACTTAACAACTTGAATTCAGGATCCTATTACATTTTGTAAAGAGGCATCATTTTGGGCATAGAAAGGGATAAACTAGTTCCATGATCACCAAGTAGGTCCTAGTCCTGTTTTTCTCCTTTCCCCCAGTGCTTTTAGAGAAATCCGGTGTCATTTAGTCTGAAGTCTATCGCCCTAGTTTTCTTCTGTTATATTTTGCATGTGGAAACGTTCTGCTACATGGTAGCTTAAAAGATGAGACCCTAAAGTCAAGAACATGAAGCAGATCCTTTTTGACTTTGTTAACTATGTAGGTTCGACATGACTGGGAGAATAGAGTCTATACATGGTTGCAGTTTGTATATACCCTATGCTTATAATGTTGGTTGATGTTACCAAATGCAGGTATATTAGTATTACTTGATTAGAACCAGGTATCTCTTATCCCTGGAGGGCTGGATTAAGTCAGGTGGGTTTAAATAACTGCTTTCTCTGGGAAGCTGTTCTGGCAGGTGTATGTGAATCTGAGACAAGAAGAGCTCAGTGCCCTGTGGCTATTTATTTGGTAGCCAGTCATTGCAAACCCTTAATATGCATCCGGCAAATGCTTCAAATGAGGCATTCCTGGTGCTTGCTGAGGTGGCAAAGTCTCTCATCAGCACTCAGAGTCCACACTATATCAAGGCTCTGTGAAGCACAGCTTTCCCATCCCAGGAGGTGGGAAACTGTTCACCTCTGGTTTTGGAGCTGCTTGTGAATGTGCCAACACTCACTCTGCAATAGCTTTGTAATAATAACTAAGTCCTTAGTACAGTCAAATACAATTGTTGCCTACTGCAAGTAATGGTTGTAAATCTGTGAGGTTGTGTAGGAACTGGTGGTACAAGTGAGAGGGCCTGATGAGAAGCAAACCACTGATACTTCCTGCAATCATTCGTGGTATCTTCTTTACTTAATATATCTGTTCTTTGCATGAGCACTACGTGAAGACTTTGGCTTTGTGTTTCACCTTTGTCTGCTAAATATCTTCCTTGCCAGTTGTTTTTCTTCTCTCCCTGCACTGAATCTGGTTAATAAAGACTAGGTGATACAGCACCCTTTGCAGGCTGAGCAGCAAGGCTGGCTGTGAGTTTCCTTGTGACAGTAATAAAATTCTCCTATTCTCCTTTCAAAGCTCAGGAATGGTTTTATTTAGTTTACAAGCATTTCCATCAAGATTGGGAATTTGGCCAATTTTAGTGCCTGTGAACAGTGCAGTGCACCCTTGCTGAAAGATGAAGGGCTGCTGGTCTGGCCTGTAAAGCAATCCATCATCACAGCTGTATCAAAAACAGCTCTTTGCTGGTATTAGTTTCTCAAACATGTTTGTTGCCAGCATAGGAATAATTCTCAGTGGTGTGATGGAATTTTATTGGGGTTTAGAGTTGTTTGGGGGCACTTGGTTGTTTCCTGAGGTTTGTTTAATCAGGGACTCAGGGATGCCTGAACACAAGCTGTAGAGCTGAGGAAACTGGCCAACAAAGCCAGTTCCTTTTGCCAGAGGATTATCTGTTCCCCAAAGTATCCACAAAGTAGCAGGGCATCCACTTCTAATCCTGGAATCAAGCTCTCAGTGTTGCTTCAGAAGGAAAAGCAGGCTTGGCTTAGGTTGGTACAATCTGTCACAGAGAGGAGCTGGTTGAACTTGGGGAGTCTAACATAAAGAAGAGTTTGGCTGCTTCTCTAGACTGCACACAAGCTGCTTTATTGCAAAATAAGGGCTTCTCTCCCATGTTTTGAGATGCTTTCTGGCAATAGGAAATGTGTATGTTCCCTCACAGATAGGCTTGGGACTTCCTGAAAATGCTCTGTTGAAAGATGTAATGCTTTCATTATTGTGATTGATGTCAGTTTTAATTCTGCTGTGCTCAGATATGCAATAATGTATTGATTCTAGGTGGGACAAACTCCTGCAACACTTGATAGATAAAAGTCAGTTTTGCAACTGATTAATCCTGATTTTGAAGGGAAGTATAAGGATCTAGTCTTCTTTTACTGTATCTTCTCCTCACTTTGGTTATTGCATAAGATATGAAATCAACTGGTGGGTATTAAAGAGTGAATTTAGTGCATTAGTTCAAAGTATATAAAAATCTTTTTGATATAGAATCATAGAATAGGGTTGGAAAGGACTTAGGCAGTTTTGTTGTTTCTATGGACTCCCGTTCTAATAGTATGGAATGGTGCTGGCCTGAGGAAAGCTCTGTCTTGACATAGTTTCAGGAGAGTTTATGCAGGTACATAGAATGTGGCATTTAAAATGATCTTGAAATACTTCACTTGAGCATTAATGCTGGAAGGCTCTGCCAGTCCATACCAGCATAGCAGGATACTTTGGCCTTTTCCTGGTAGATGACATGTGTAACCTATGACCTACCAAACCTATAGCTAGACTTCCAAGAAAGAGGAGATACAGTAGTCATCTTCTATGGCCTGCTGCTGAGCCTTCAAGTAAAGTAAGTGGTAGTGGTGGCTTTTTTCTGTCTTCTAAACAAAAACGAACAAAGGAGTATGTTCTACCCTCAGTGGATAGGGAGAATAATTGATTTTCACCCTTAATCATAGCATGGTTTGGTTTGGACAGGACCATCCAGTTCTAACCCCTCTGCCATGGACAGGGACACCTTTCACTAGACCGTGTCACCCAAGAGTCTGTCCAGCCTGGCCTTGAGCACTGCCAGGGATGGAGCGTTAAACTTTATATTACCCTGAATTAGGAATGACTGCAAGGAAATCTCCTGATAAACAGAGGCTTAAGTTACTGTCTGCTGAGTTAGCCAGCAGTGTTGTTTCTATCTTGAGAGATGTTTTCTCACCTCAGCCTTTTATTCAGAAAGATTTTCCAGTTATCTTCTATCCAGATAGAGGGAGAAATCTATCCCTCTGGTTCTAATCTGGTAAACTGCCCTGATTGCAAGCAGCAGCACTGCCTAAACCCCCCCCAGCAACTTTACCTGGCTGGAACATTAGTCCTTTGGGTCCTCTTCTATGGGCTGGGATGCTTCTCTGTATTGTGTTTCATTCTGCCCAGTCTCCAGCATGATAAGTAGGAAACAGTTCTGTAGAGCTTTGAGTGTTACAAAACTGAAGATGGTTCTGGCTGAGCACAGACCTGGTCAGATCTGCAGGGAGAGGGGCAATGCCTTAATGGTGAGAAGGTGAAATGGTAGGGAAGCACAGAATTCCGTGATTTCTAAACGTGCATTCTGAATGTGTCAACAGAACTCTACGTGGAAACGCTTTTCCAAGAGCAGTACAATCTGCAAGCCCGCTCTCAGAGAGAACTTGTGTGCTGAGAGTTGTGAGTCTGTTGGAAACACATTCCAGTCAGCTGTGGTGGCAGTGATGGTATCAGAGTTGTCAATATCCTCTCAACAATCAGAGCACACTGAATCTAGCAGATTAGAAAAAGCAGTCAGAGGTCCCACAAGATCAGAACTTAATCCACACACAACTGTGTTTCCTTTAGCCTGTAAAACCGAACAGCAAAACGGTGCTGTGATTATCCAGGTTTTATGATTGTGGAGAAGTCAGTCAGTGAATGTTCAGCCAGATTAATAAAACCCACTTTGATGTGTGAGTCTTGCTTTGGAGGCATTGTTGTTCTCTTCTTGGCAGTTGTGCTGCTCTGGTTAGGTCCATTCCTGTTAAAGCAGTGAATGTCCCCATTTTGTGTATATTTTAATGTGGTACATCAAAATGTGAACTAACTGATAGGAGATTTCCCAGTCAGTGGCTTCTCCTAGTCCACAAAATTACCTATCTTTACTCACTGTGTGGGCGAGATGTTTTGTTAAAAGTTTGATTTATTATTAATAATGAAACCTAGTATTGTATCTACTGCTGTGTGTTCTTTTAAATCAAAGTCTTTCTCCTTTCCCTTCCCTTCTTTCCCCTCCCTTTGATTAAATCTAAATGTAGATGGATTTGAAACATTTAATTCTACTTTGGACAGCCAAGAATGTAAGAAACAAAAAAAGAGTAATGGAGTGCAGCAGGGAGCATCAGCAGAAGAGCATTGCTAATTGCTGAAGAATAAAAGATAATGGCCAATTTTGTCAGGAAGTGTTGACAAGAAAGATAACTTTGTAGTAATGAACTGGCTGACATGCTGGAAGTGATGTGTCTGCCAATGACTCTTTAAATCATCAGGGTATGAAATGTGACAGCCATTTATCACTTTTACGAGGCACTGCTGCCTAGCTTTCCCTTGGGAAGCATGGAGGTAGTACATTCTTTGCCCGTCTTGCTAAAGAAAGGCATGGCTGTATTTCAAGTGCTTCCCATTTCTGGGTGCCTATCTTGAACTGTGACTATGGTGCATTCATAGCCTGACTCAATCTGATGGAGCTCAACCATTCTGAGGTCCTGTTCCCAAAAGCATTTTGCTTGACCTTCCCAGATATCCAGAGTGTGTTCAGGAGCTTGGTTCCTTGGTTGTCAGGAGAGGAAACCTCCACAGACAGAAGAGATATAGCACTCCTTTGAAAACTTCCCCTGTTTTGTCTGTTCAGAGTAATCTTTTTATTACTATAGATTTCCTTGGCTCAGTGATCAACAGGCCTCTTATGTTGAGGGGGAATATGCCATTGTGATGATAGCAGGCAAGAAGGGGCATTTCTGAAAGCTGCCTGTATCTACAGGAGCATATTCAAAGGCCTTTGAAAGTCTCTTTGTGTTGGTTTCAGTTCACGTTTTGTTTCTTAGGTTATGCTGTTTCCACTCCAAATGTTAACTAGCATTAAACTGGACTGTAAGGGGGTGTTGTAGCATGCTCAGTCTCATTGACATGGCTTTCAATGACTTGTGCTTCTTGTTCTCCAGTACCTCTAGGGAAAGAGGAGAGCAATGAAAAAGAGTGTGTCTGTAAATAAGCTTTATAAAATAGCAGA